GTAGTTGACCGTTTTTTCTTAAAATTTCATCTTAATGAGATATACCGCTTGAAGCTGTCCGAGTGCCAAAACTTCCATCGTTATCGTTCACTTTAAAATGGTTTATCTCATTTAGACAAAGTTTCAAGAGAAAATAGCCAACTACAAAATTAAGCTCTATTTTTGTTTTTGGGAGACCTGAAATTTTTCTGTCTCATCCAACCAAATTTTCTGTATTTTGTAGATATCCAAAGTTGGACTATTACCGTAGCGTGCCACCCAAACCTTCATCTTTGGGGTCAGTTATCTCGATTCTTGTGAAAGTTATCAAAAATTGGCCAACAGATAGAATGTTTATCATAATATCACCAATATTTTGTCAGTTGGCCATTTTTTGATATCATTTGCATGGAGTGAGATAGGCGGGCTCAAAAATGAGGGTATGGACTTTTATTAGAGGGAATAAGGTAAATATTCTTCTGAAATAATCTGAAGCCAATTCAATTTTCGGCCGAAGGCTTCCCCCAATTTTATTATTTTATGATCATATCCCTTACCAGTTTTCCAAACCTTTTTGGCTTTTTATTTTACTGTCCAAGTAATCCCCAACTTTCCACTTCGCTTCCAAAAACTTGTAAAATGCATTTTTTCGAACACCTGTGGCTGTATCTGCTACTTTTCACAGGTGCAAATTTTATCCCCAAATCTTGACGATTTTTCGTCAGACTGACCCCATCTCATGGTACAACTGCACAGCTGTATCCACTAGTATGTTATGTATGAGTAGAACTGTGAAGACCAGAAACCAGTTGTCATTCATTCTGAAGATTATCCCCCTTTCTTTTCCTATACCGAAATCTTAAGGAGAAAGGCTCCGTTGAATTATTTAGGTACCCTTATAATGTCGGTTTCGGTGTATGTTTGTGTTTGTGTTCGTGTTTCCTTTCATTTTATTTCCTCTCATTTCCTTTAGATTCTCATATGTTTTCCCAGCAGTTCGGTCTTTGAAGCATGACCCATTTTTTACAGGTTTTATGAGTTTTGCGTGCATAGTGCTCAATTTCCAAACATTTGTTCTCTTCTGTATCTGAATTGAGGTTCTAGTTCTCTTCTGTATCTGAATTGAGGTTCTAGTTGTACTTATTTCATTTGTGGCAACTCTTAGTCAGTTATTTTGGTCCTTTGAAAATTGTCAGAGTATACGAAATTCCAAAAAAAAAACCAAAAATCCGATTATCCTGATATCTCAAAAACTATCAAATTCAGGATTTTTAAAAAAGTATTTTTAATAAATAATTGAAAAAATCTGAAAATCTGAAATCAAAGATTTTGAATGTTTCAAATTATCGAATTTTTTAGAATTTCTGTTATTCCTAGAACTTTCAAATGGTCAAAAAATCCAAGGACCAAAAAAATTCTAAGGACTTGAATAACCGACTAGTGCAAAAAGATAAAAAATGAAACCTGAATCTAAAATCCTAAGAACCTGAAATTTATAGTACCAGAGTTTAGAATACTTGAAGTCTGAAAACCTTTTGAAATCAAAAACCCTGTGTACTCATAGGTCCCATTATCAATTCTTCTTATACCTTTGAGTAATATATCAAAAAGAGTCGATAAGGTATTCTTACGTAACTGAAAAGGAAGATCCTTATCTGAAAGCAAATGATAATAATGGTCATGACCTCCTTTCCATTAGCCCCGCATGCATCGCTTTAGTACTGATTTGAGTTTTCTTAAATTTGTTGTGTTGCTGACAAAAAACACTTTTCGGGAATTCCGAAAAATATAGGCAAACAACAAATATATAACTTTTTCTCCTTTGAAATCTTGTCTCCCAGAACCAACAACAACAAAATCAGAAGACTCCGAAAAAGAAGAAGCAACGAATAGAATTCTAGGGGCAACTTTAGTTTATTCCTTCGTTTTCGTTTTTTATTTTTTGAATCTTCCACCATAATCTTTGGACCTATATAACATGACACATCTTTTGCTCGATCTTTTTTTACTTCGTTTTTTTTCTGGTTTTCTGCCAACTACGAATTCTTAAAACAACTGCTCTGATATATCTGTTGATATAACGAATAGAAAATAGTGTATAGGTTGAAGAGGTTTAGAGAAGAACCGATGAATCAAATCGACGCTTATCAAAAAAAAATAGCCGTAGGCGGGAAGATTGGGTTATAGGGGTCGATTGGGGGTTAAGAGGTTCACACTACTTTTTCTGAGATTTTAAGATAGCTGAAGGACGGCAGAAAATGATTATTGGTAAGCGAAATTTGGGATTTTTTAATGTAAATCATTGTTTGCCGAAGTAAAAAAGATACAACCCAACAATGAGTACTTCGTTTGTCTAGGTGTTTTTGTAGTGAAGTATTAAAACTTTCGAAAATAACTTTTTATTGAAAACCTCTCATTTGGGTAAGCTTGTACAGAAAACTGGCCGATTACGATACCTTATGAGATAAATGCCGGATTTTCTGACCTTTCATGAGAACTATATCAGCTGTCGGCTCGTAAATTCTGGTGGTAATTTGAGTGGGGGCGGACATTGGCCAGGATCTGGTCGGAACTTGCCCGAAAACGGCTGTATAGCGGTCCATGGTCAGATTTTGATGGAAAGTTTAAAACTGAAATAGGTCTAGGCTGGAACCTTGTCAGAAGTTTTTTGGAGTTTGGTCGGCTTCTGTAGCGGTTTTATCCGGAATATGTGAACTTCGGGATCCTACGAAAGTAGCCCAATATTTCACTATTTGTCTGAAAATTTCAGAGTATATTGAACAAATAAAGGGCTTCCTTTTTGTAATTAGCAACTTTTTTGTACAAATCTATTCAAGCGAGATATGCTTACAACTCTCAGTTGAGTGCTAGTTTTGGCATTTTGGGCACTTTTTGGTTACAAATGTCCTTTTTTTTCATCAGAATTGAGTTTGATGACAAAGTTTTAATTCTGTTAATGAAGTTCCATTTTTGCTTAATATGCTCTGAAGTTATCAGACGCATCGAAATATTTTGGGCCAGTTTTTTTAGAACTCTGAAGTCGACTACCGTATTTCCTCTGACACATTGTAGCTTACCTAAATCGTCAACTTTGAGCTCAATTTCACAATTCTTGTGACAGATATCAAAAAGTAGTCAACAGACAAAATTTTTTTTGATATTATAATGAACATTTTGTCAGTTGACCACTTTTTGGTCCCTTTTACAGGAATAGAGATGTTTGCGCTCAAAGTGGACGGTTTTGAAGAAATATGGTAACCTTCTCCAGTTTTTGTTTTCCCAAACTGCAACTTTGCTCCCTCGAAATCTCGAGAAACTGTCATCTTGGGAATCATGAATCATTTTCAGACTTGTTGACACAGAACTCCATTTTTAGACCTTCGAAATACACATTCTCCCATCTCCACCCCCGCAGGAAAACCATCTGAACTTTTTTGGAGGGCAGCTGCCATAAAAAGCATCCGTCTTTCTTCTATTTTTCTGATTTTCTTTCCACCTTCTTCTTTCTTTTTTCATGCAAATGGCCAAGTCTCACGCTTCAAAGCTTTCTACAGGTATCTTTCCAACTTTCCAACTTTTTACCTCTTTCCACTCTCAATAAGAAAGGGTGGTCATTACCTTTTTTCTTCCCATAAAATTTGGGTTTTATCAGTGATTACGGGAAGTGGAGAAAAGAAAAGGGAGGCAGTAATAATTATATCTTCGGGTTGCATTTTCTGTACATTTTACACATTTTATGGCCTCCCGACTGGCCTTCCTGATATGGCAAACAAATAAGAAAACTAGCAGAAAGTTTTGAAAATTTCTGGAAGTTCTTTCAGTCCCCAAACCTATAATTTGCCTTCAAATGTAATTAAAACCACTTTATTTCGAAAGTTGAGTAGACCATGACAAGTTTTCTGCAAAAGGTCATAATTATCATGTCACATACCATATTCCAGACATTTCTTTTCTGTTTTTCCCCTTTGCTTTTTGAACTTTATTTCTTCGACTTTGTTTGTATACAAAAATTTATACAATATCCAGATGGATGGATACGCTCGCGAAATCTAAGATTTTATAAACACATCTTGAAATTTTGATTTAGAGAAAGACTCATTTGAAAGTTTAGTTTATCTTTTCTTCCTCTGGTTTGTTTCCAGAACTATCAAAAATTGTTGTTTCTTTTTGTTGAAGTCACCGAAAGACAGGAGCATAATTCCAAGACTCAAGTTTGTAGTAGCATAAAACTTGGGAAGAACGATGTACTGGGCTCAAATTTGGAGTACGAAAATTAAAATAGTTCATCTATTAATTGGACGAATCCCCACTTATTTGACCAACTTTGAGCTGAGTTATCGCTCGTCAAAGTTACTTCATCTCATTAAAATCACAAGAAACATGAAGATGTTCATCTTTAGACATTCATAACAATACCTAGATTTGAGGAACTGTTTAGAAAGTTTTTAGTTGAATCAAACGTATTTCTACCAATTTTCGTGCTTCCGTATTTCTAAAGATATACCAGTTATTTCTAAAGATTTACCAGTTATTTCTAAAGATATACCAGTTTTTATCAGTCCGGCTAATTGTACCATATGATACAAAGACTTGAAGACCATGGGTAAAAAAGGTACTGACAATTACAGTAACATTTTAAAAAATTTCTAGACAAAAACAATTTTCAAACCTTTCCAAAGCCCTAAACTTCCTAGAAATTCAAAGTTCGAACACTATCAATGGTCACTCTTACAATTAGACATGACATAAGCTTATTAATAGTGGTGTGAAGTCAGTGAAAAAACACCCATTTTAATCGGATTCCCTTCTAAAAACTTTGATAACCTTCCCCCGCCAAAAAATACGAAACCACTTCTCATACATTTCCAGAAAGAAACACCACACTCGAATTATCCGGTTCAAGTTGTCACATCAGATTATAATGTTTTTTGATGCCATCAGCACTTTTCCCGTTCCCCCAATTCTGCTTCACTTTGTCATGTTTTCCGTTCAAATAACCTATATTTTCAGATGCTCTGGTGATGCGCCAATTCCTTTTTCTTTCAATTCTTTTTGCCATACCGTACACTTGTCGTGCTGGATGTTATCAGAGGCGATTGTGTTGTACGGGTAGGAACAATACTTGCAAAGTGAGTCGAAAAAAGAAGATTTTAGATGAATTGGTGAAAAATGAAAGAGCATGGGAATACGATTTATGTCTGAAGTATACAAAAAAATTCCGTAAAATCTGTAATAGAAGGGCCTTTTAACAGTTGACACATTTTTCATATTTCTTAGAGAAATCGAGAGAATTGAATCGAGCTCGACAGTGTGGCCCTTCTATTACAAGTTTGAAGGTTTTTTATAAAAAAGTTGTCAACTACAAAATTGAAGCTCTATTAATGTTTAGTAAAACTGCAGATTTTCAGTCTATTCCAGCAGAAACTTCTATATTTTGTAGACACCCAAAATTGGCTTGTAACCGTAGAATGCCACCCAAACCATCAACTTTGAGCTCAATTACCTCGGTTCCTGTGAAAGATATAAAAAAGTGGTCAATTTATAAAATGTTTGTGATATTATGATAAACAATCTATCAGTTGAAAACTTTTTCGTATCTTACTTGTTAGACAGGTAACGAGAAAAATTGGCTCAAAGTTAAAAGTTAGGGGCCCTTCTAGTGTACTACGGTAAGTTGAGGAAGTTTTTTACGATATAACAAGTAGTGAATTTCAAAAGTTTTAATTTTCACATCAAAGTACTGAAATTTCAAAAATTTTTGTGAGCCACGGGAATCTTTTGAATCTCCCAAAAGATGGACCGTTAAGTTTTTGGGAGCAACGTGTTTTTTTTCAACAAATATAACAGAAATATTAACACTTTCTGAATATTTTTCCAAAAATTAGAAAAGAAATGAATAAAGACGTGAATTATTTTTATCGGGATTTTTCATGCTTTGGAGCTCCCTAATCTGCACCCTCTACGTTGATTTTTTTTGACATGTTTTTGACATATATCTTAAGAATGAGTGATTTTCGGACTATCCTCCAAGAAAGTTTTTTTCCCGACCCAAAATTCTGCATCGATTGATATACAAATCTCAAAAATTTCGGAATTAGCGGACGCCCCCTTTAAGGAACGACTGCTAAACGAGAGCCGAAGAAGCGCTGATAGTCAATAATTTACTTTTCTGGAAAAAAAAATCAACTGGACAGGAAAAAATTTCAAGACAGTTGAATATTTCTCTTTTCTTTTGAAAGTGTTTCCTTACAATTACAAGGAAGATTTTAAAAAACAAGAAACACAATTTTGGCGGAATTATTGATTTTGCAACCCGTACTTCTGAAATCTAAAAATCCCGAAATTCCCTAAAAACTCCAATATCGAAATCTGTTTTAGGGCGTAGACGATGGGATTTCCCATCTTCCAACGGTCAGCACAATTCACAACGAAGAAGCACAAACATTCCATCAACGGCCGACGAGAGTTGAAAAAGAATACTACTCTCCTCACTACGAATCTTCTGGCGATGGATACGATTTAATTTTTCCAGATGTAACTTTCCATTTTTACTTGTGATGTAAGAAATTCAACGTTTTTTTTAGGTTTACGATGGAGAAAATGACCAAAAAATCGGGAAACTCGTACTTCCAGACGTCATTGAAATGGAAGGATCCGGAGCTGACAAGGTTTACGAAAGATATGGTTTGTAAAGCGTTTCAAAAACGATAAGAAAGAAAAATGAAATTTAGGACTTGGAAGTGGCGACGGAGAACCAGAACCTGTTAAAGAGATTCCATTGACCACGGCTGCTCCCAGTTTGTTAACTCTGATATTCGGACAAAAGAGGAATCAGAGGAATCCACCAGAAGAGATTACGCGGTATAGCGAGAAGCCTAGACATCTTCTAATACGGTTTGCACTATTTTTTGTTTTTAACCTAAAACTTTTTAAAATAATGTATAAAAATTTCACGTTCTAGAACATGGTTTGCTTCATGTTGTTTGGTGATAACTTCTTTTCTCTAACATTGTCTTCTGTTCAAAACTCACAAAAGTCGATTTTCAGATTTCAAAAATTATTTGCAGATACTCGTTGCTTTCCAAATACATGCCATTAAAAGTGACCTCCTCTCCACTTCTTTATGAAGAAAGCCGGGTTCAGCCAGTCAATGATAACTTGTATTATCTGGAAAGTTCTGTCAGTGAATGTTATTGTGATGAGCACTGTGTGACACTTGGAGATTGCTGCTCGGATTATACATTTGTATGCCCTCGTAAGTTGATAATTTTCATGAAAATTGATTCGAAAATCATGGAAACTGATCTGAAACTTAGGAAAAATTCTTGAAAAATCATGACAATGGTCCAAAATTTATAAAAGGTGGTCCAGAAATCATGGAAAAAAAAGATTTCAAATTGATGAAAAACGTCCAACTGGCGTTGCTCCGTTGTTGGTCCGTTTCAGCATGATTCGAGTTTTTTCTTTCAAAGTTTTTAGATTTTCTGTTAAAAATAAACAGAATTTCCGTCGATTCCATTTAAAAATCACATTTCTGGCCCTTCTAGGAGCCGAGGTAGACCTCTTTGAAGTATCAAAGGCTAGAGAACGCTAGACGACGAGACACACTGCGTATCTAGCTTCCTGCACTCAGTGCAACTATATCTTTCCCACAGCACTGTCTGAATTTCAACTTTGTAACGCTAAAAAGAACCGAGATACCGAGACGAAAAAATCAGGAAGAATTGCTATGTAAATGCTAGGCATCCCTTCGCCATGTCCTAGGTTTTTCACTTCGCGGGAACTAAAATTTTCGTCTCTATTCGCCACCCTTTTAAAGCAAAATTTTCACTTTCAATGGCTTTGGAACCATTGTATTGCAAAAAATTTGAACGTTTGGTCGGAGCCCATCTCTTAGAAATCATTCTGAAATGTTGATTCCAGCAAGAGACTGCGTTCTCACTGATTGGGATCAATGGACTCAATGCAAAGCTGATAATGGAACATGTGGAATTGGAACTCAAAAAAGATTAAGACATGTTATACAACATGCGGAAAGAGGCGGAGCTGCTTGTCCACCGTTGAAAGAAATGAAAACTTGTTTCATCGATTGCAAGCCAAAGAAATCGGCGCTAGATGGTTAGTTTCTTAAAATATTGAAAATTTAAAAAATGTGAGATCCAGATATAACAACGGTCGCTTTGATTTTGGATTACAAGTACAATCAAACAAGAGCTAAAACTGGCCGAAACAATATTTACTGGGACCTTCCGAATATTGCCGATAAAGTAAAAAAGGCATCTTTGTAAGATTCAAATTCTTTCGTAAACTTTGAGATGGCTAAATTTCAGCTACTGTGTGCACTATTCCATCGAATGGGTAAACCGTAACTGTGTATCTCGTCTTCTGAACAAAGGATTGACTGAAGGAAGTGTTATGTGTGCAGAATGCCAACCAGAAGCCACGTATCACAGGAACACCGGAAGATGTGCTTCTGACTTGGACGATGGAGATCAAGGATTCTGGAAGCTGATCGGACCACAATCTTGCAATGGAATCTGGACAAGAATCAATCGAACCGACAATTGCCAGTGCCAAGTACAGTATCCCCAGAATCACCCATTTCTCCTTGTCTAGAATTTTTGAAAATTTCCGTTAACTAAATGTCCCGGTTCTTCCCCACTCTAGCAGCTCCTGTGTCGTATTCAATTTGTATTCTTTTTTTTGTAATTTTTCATACTGCCTCACCGTCTTGCATAATGTTTATATTCCCAACAAACTCTCTCGTTAATTCTTCCTTTTCTCTTTCCTTCAAGATCTTCAAATGTATTCCTACTCTGACCCTAAAATTGCCCCTTCTGATGAAATCGGTGGAAATCCAACGAAAACGATAAACTTTTTTATTGAAATAAATGAAAAATCATAAGTAAACCGGAAGGAAAAAATAATGACAAGACTGGCGATCACAATTTGATATCACAAATTACTGGGAGATGATCAGAGGGAGAAATGGCTGATGGAAGGGCTTTGTATCGGATTACCTTCTCATGTTCTGGCATCGGACAATTTCGAACTGTTTCAACATCTGAAAATTGGGAAAATTTGTTTTTTTTTTCAAAAAAAATTCCGAACTGATGAAAATTTGAATATCGGAAAATTCCGCAATTTTTAAACTTGAAAGTAGGGATAATCAGAAACTCTGAAATTTTGATTATCGGAATTTTTTGAAGTTCCGAAAATTGGAAAATTGGGAAATTCCGCAATTTTGAAATTTGTAAATTAGAATATTCCGAAATATTGGAAATTTGAAAATTGTAATATTCCGAACTTCCGAAAATTTGAAAATCGGAACATTCAGAGATTCTGAAAGTCCGAAATTTTTAAACACGGAATATTCGAAATTTCTAAAAATTGCGAGAAGGATATTTCGAACATCCCGGCTTCCAATAACTAACCAAGTCCCCAAATATAATCCAGACACCCGACGAATCCTTCTTTTTTACTTGCTGAGGTGTAGTTTGTGTACTCGGGCGTTCCAGTGAGACACTTCAGCTTTTGCTCGATTTGAATATTTTCAGCAACCACTTTTTCGTCGCATTTCCACACTTCATGCTCCTTTGGTAAGAATCCCTGAAAATACAAAATGAATAATATATTAAAGATACTTTCTTTACATTAGCCATCATTTGGAACACTGCTCCATCTGGAGTGCTATTGAAATCGCCTCCAAAAAGGACGCGAATTTCCCGACCTGATTCTGACTTCCTCTTCTTGTACACTTCCATTAGCTTTCGGATACAAACCAACGCTTGTAGCACTTTCACATGCTCATCTAATGGATTATGATGCAAATGAGTGTTGGCACAAACCAGAAGTCTTCCAGATTTTGATTCTTCCAATACGACGATCTGCACAATTGTTTGTCTTGTGTTGAACCGGTTTTCAGATTCTTCAGAACTTTTCAACATTCTATAAATATCCGAATTGCACTGTTCAGAAATAACCAGTTCAGCTAAATTGAACGAATTTGAGTAGAGCATTCGGAACAATTTGTTATCATAGATCAAAGCAACTCCTTCACTGATTTGACCTCCTTTCTTTGATATTTCACTGGAGTAGTTCAGCGTTTTCAGGAATGGTTCAATGTACATCTCATTCCTTCGCATGTCGACTTCTTGGAGGAAAAACAAAGAAACTTGAGCATCAATGAAATCTCGAATCTGCTTCAGAAAAATTGGCGTTCGATGAAAAATCCTTTGATAGGCTTTCGGACAGTAATTGAAGAAAAGTTCTTCCTGCTCCAAGTTGAGGTTAAGATACAAATCTGCCAGAATGTTGTAGCCCATGATTCGTATTCTGAATCAAATAATGGCTTTTTTCAATATTTTGAAAACTTACACATCTCTGTCTAAATTATTATCTTTACACCACCGTACTTGGCTATCTGTGATGACTTCTTCAATTGGATCGCTGATTGGTCTCAAACTGATTGCCGCACTAAAAATTGAAGCTGTTAGAATATTTTTTTAATTAGAAACTCACTAAACTGGATGATCAGCTCCCGTATCGACCACAACGGCAACTAATCGTCCCACGTCGCTTGCATCCGGATTGAAATATTCTCCATTATGCTTCAAAGTGTATCCATTCAAACTGTATTCCCTCTTCTCTTCGTTCAAAAATGAAAGTTCCATTGAATCGATATCTTTTTTGGTTGGTCCCGGCTTCTCCTTTCCTACTGGAACCTCTTTTTGAACCTCATTTTTCACGAACCAATGACATTGAATTGGTGTACTTTTGATATTGAAGACAATGGCTGGCATGCAAAATTGACCGGCAATTGGTGTGAGAGCAACTGAAGCGGAACTGATCGGGATTCCGTCCCGAACAATTTGAAATGGGGAATCGTTGATCAGCAAAGACGTTATCCTCACGTCGTCAGCTAAAGTGCGGATTGTAGCAGTTTCCGGTATCAACTTCTCGAATTCAGGACTCATTTTTATTGTGAGACCGTTTTCAGAAGTGTCTCCTTTGTCTTTGAATACTTTCTTTTTCATAAGTGCTGAAATCTGAAAGAATACGGTAGAAAAATGTTGTTCGGAGCAGGAGCCCACTTTTGGTAGTGCTACAGACAACTCCTGATCGAAAGCTTTTTGAGTTTTTATGATATGCGGAATGTCTTCGCAATCAAATTGAAACATCATGTTCAATCCGACTTGCATTTGTTTTCTTTTGTCTTTCACCGGCTCCTCCGTTTTCCAAAAAAGGACGCGTTTCGATGGTAGGAGCATACTTCTGCGATACTTCCGAGGTACGAGATCTTTCTGAAAGTCTTCATTATTTATCAGGAGCTTCACCCAGTCTTTCATACTTCCAAAATATCTTTCCATAAAATAGTCGGAGGTTCAGCACTTGGTTTTCCTGGTTTTAGCACACTTTTGAAAAAACTAGACAGAAACTTGAGCATTAACAAAAACTTCTGAACAATTCATAAGAGGTAACAATGTCTCACTGAAGTGCCCTTTGTCTTATATATTTTTTCTAATTTTTAGCTGAATTTTTAATTGTCCTCGAGGAGTACACGAGACAGCCCACGAGAAGTGTGTCAGTGGCCACTAGTGTTCTTAACCGAAAACGCGCAAGCATGTTTTTTGTTTTTATTTTGCTTTTTCTATGTTAAGACATAGAAGATAGATTTTGAGTGCTTTATCGTGTGACCTAGATACGTGGTGGCGACATAGAACTTTTCAGATTTATGTCACCTCCCCAAGTGCAATAAAAACCATGCTGCGAGGTTTCTTCGGGCGCCGATCTCGTTCGGCATGGGTTCGGCTCACATATCTCTGCGTTATTACAATAATATTTCTTTTTGCCTCTTCACAGTTCAAGTCAACAGCTACACATGCGAGATTTGTACCGGAAGTGAGACAAGTTTCCATAGGCTTGACGTTAAATCTTCACTTTTTAACTTGCAGCCCGCTCAGCCTGTGCATGCTATTGCTGTAGCTGCTGACCCTCGACTACGCCCGAATCCGGAATCTCTGAATCCCAACCAGGATGGAATTGACCAACCAGACCCGGCTAGAGTGGACTCTCCGGATGTTCCTCAACACCAAAATGCACAATGGGTTACCAGAAAATTTTTGCAACAACAGAGAACCAGCAAAAAACCATTTGAAAATGTTGTAATCAACGGAGAGAAGTATCCAAAGCTGACACCCGATGGAAAATTCATCCCACAAAGGCGGATAATTCATTTGGATCTCAAAGGCGCTGCGTACAAACCTGACTATTTCGAGGAACTTTTCGCATTTTTCAATCGACTTCAAGCTACTGGAATTCTTTTGGAATGGGAAGATATGTTCCCGTTTAAAGGACGACTTTCTAGTGCTGTTAATAAAAATGCATACAGTATGGAGACTGTAGAACGTATTTTGAAAGCAGCTCAAAAGCACCACCTTCAAATTATCCCCCTGGTTCAGACTATGGGTCATTTGGAATGGATTTTGAAGTTGGAACAGTTTGCACATCTCAGAGAAGACTCACGGTTCCCACAAGTCATTTGCTTTTCGGATGATGACGCATGGGATCTTATAAAGGAGATGATTGAAGACGTGGCTGAAGTCCATAAGAAGTTCGGGATGCCTTATTTCCATATCGGTGCGGACGAAGCCTTCCAGGTAAGCATAATTGTAATTTACTACTAAGTATGAACTCTTTTTTTCAGATCGGTATCTGTAATGCAAGTGTCGCTCGAATCCAAAAAGAATTTTCTCGCGAACGTCTCATGCTGTGGCACATCGCAAGAACCGCTCGATTTGTGAAAGAGAAATATCCAGAAACCCAAGTTCTTGCATGGCATGACATGATGGCCAGTGCAATGGAATCAGATATTGAAGATTACAAATTGACAGAGCTTGTTCAGCCTGTTCTGTGGAACTACGCAGAAGACCTTGATATTTATCTCCCCAGATCGACGTGGATGCTTCTCAGGAATTTCGGAAGTGTTTGGGGAAGTTCTGCTTGGAAAGGAGCCGATGGTCCTGCACGATATTCTACGAATGCCAATCACTATGTGAAGAATCACGAGTCCTGGATCAAACAGTTAACAATGGTCTACAAGGATTTCAATGTAATTGAGGTAAGAAATAGAATCAATGAACATAGAAATATTGTTGTATTTACACTATAAATTTTACAGGGTCTTATAATGACTGGCTGGTCTCGATATGATCACTTCGCTGTTCTCGCTGAAACAATCCCAGTTGCGCTTCCAACTCTTGCAATCAGTATGGAAACTATGCTTGAAGGTCGTCCGCTATTAGGAAATCATCCAATAACCTTTGAGCTGTTGCAATGTTCACCACCTCTCGATCTTGGATACGTCGCATCCGGATGCCGTTTTCCAGGAAGTCGAATCTACGAACTGATAAATGATATGTATCAAAAACAGATGCAGCTTCGAACATATCGACAAGATGATTATGAAGTTAACGGATGGTTGTCGAGGGTTGCCGATGAGTATACTGTGTCTAGTCATTGGTACATTGATGTAGGTTCTTCTCGTACTTAAAAGCTCATAAAAAGTTTCTTTGTTTCAGAAAATCGAACAAATGATCGAAATGCACGCCGTCCCACTCGAGCGAATCGCTGAAGACCTACGATTTGAGATGGATAAAATATTCTACAAGGATACCATCGACGAATTCCTATTCACCTATCTTGGCGAGGACCTGGAATGGTTGAACAAAAAACGTGAGACCATCAAAAAAGTATCCAATGCAAAAGCATTCCCGAAACGACCGTTTGTCGAGTCAGCCAAATCTATAGGAACTCAATGCTCGTAGTAGGCAAGAGAAAACACCTTGTTTGTTATGACTTGTTATCAATTTACCCCCTGATAATTTTGCTATACTCTTATTTTTTAGAGTTGTATATGTATATAGACCTCGCTGCCTTATTTTTTAGTGCCCTATTATATTCTCTCATTCTTGTCAGCATAATTTTGTGTGTCTCGCAGGCCGGGTATTTCAATTCTTGGTGCTTTTGTTTTTTTGTAGTTATATTACGAAGAGCAACGGGGGACATCTAGAAAAGAGTAGATTTTAGGCATGGCTAGTGTTTAATTTAAATAATTGTGGACCTAGTAAGCAGCTTCTCCTCTCCATTCCTCTTCCTCTCTTCTTACATCTCTCTCGTACCTCTATTTTATCCTCCTCGTTTCTTCCATCTCTTGCTCTTAAAATACACGGAGCCACTGAGAAATAAAGAGAGAGAGAGAGAGAGAGAGAAAGTTGGCGGTGGTCGTTGGAGTTGTCTCAGTTGCCTTCATCCATCTCTTCTTCTTCTTCTGTCCTCCGTTGCTCTTTCCCTATTGCTGTCTGTGACATAAAGAATCTGCAGCGCTTCGTTTTGCGTTCCATTATATCCCACATCCCTCACTCTTGTTCTTTTCCCTATGGGAAAATATGTAGAATTTTTAAACATCTTCTCTCGTTTCTTTTTCCTCACTCTTCTTTTCAATAAATTTATATTGCATGTATTTAATTTCTCAAAGTCAATCTAGAAAATAGCAAAAAAATAGTAAGTCCATACTTTATGGACCATAAAACCTCAGTTTTCAGCTTTTTTTTCCAAAAGAGTCAATTTTTCAACGCCTCGATTCACAATTTTTTTCAATTTCCGGACCGACCACTTTTAAACTTCCGGTTCTTCTTCAATTTCTTCTTGTGACCATTTTCTTCTCCGAAAAAAATCGAATTGAAGTATGCCAACTGGGAGTGAAGAAGTCAATCACTTGTCGGCGTTGGATCAGTTTGTGGCACCAGGATTACGGTTATGGATGCTCATCGCGTTGGTTGGAGGAGTTTTACTTATAATGAGTAAGTTTTTTCTAATTTATTTAACCCATTAATTGTGTGTTTTCAGTTGTCATCGTTTGTTGCTTCATGAGAATTCGAATTCCGAGAACAAAACGACAAATCGATTTGATTGCAGCCAAGAGGAAGTTAAGGAAAAGTAATAAAGCATCAAGTGAAGGGAATGCGCATAGTGAGTTTTTAGTCTTATTTTGTGTGAAATCGTGTCATATTCCAGATGACGAACGTGCTCAAGCAATCGTAATGAACTCTATGCCATCTGGTGGTGGTCAGAGTACAAGTAGTTCTCGTCACACTGGCTCGCGGATCCAATCACAAGTTTGATAACTAATTAATTTTCTTATTGACAAAACCTAATAAAAATTTGTATTTTCATTTGCTTTTTGCCTCGCATTCGGTGCAATTTTCCGATTATCAACTACTGTTCAGTAGATAGTAGTTATAGAGCTAAGCATGCTTATATTTTCAGCATGAAACTACGACATTAATAGGGGAAAAACATGGATAACATTTTGCGAACGCTCGAGAAGAATGCGAGGGAACGTGAGGGGGAAGAGATACAAAGGAGAAGAGTCGAGTTGGCTGAAAAGTTGGAGCCATATATTCGAGGATATTTGACGAGGAAGAAATATAAAGGAAAAATTAAGTTAGTGAAGGAAGAAAACTGGAAAAGAACCTGGAACCTTTTATTTCAGATTATTTCGACCAAACTTCTTCAATGACTTTGATAGCCTAGAAAAGAACAACAAAACTCTTCTAACCGTCACAGAGATGCTCTCAAAGACACCAAAAGTCATAGAGACAGCAAAAGCACAACACGATATAAAGGTTTTCAGTTTAAAACTCCTTAACTGAATTCCAACTTTAATTTCAGCTCCTCTGCAATATCTGTCGCCATATAATTATATCAATCGATTCCACATCGAAAGATGTCAGTTTTGTTGCTGCTTTTCTGAACAAAGACACTATCAAAGACGCTACCTCATTGATCACTTCGATTTTCACCCAAATTCCCTCGGTTCTGAATTCCTTGAACCCTGAAAAAGCGGCAGATGTGAAGCATTGGCAATGTCTCATCCATTTTGTAATTGTGTTCTCATCGAGTTCAACATGGCCATTGATTCGAAACGCTTCTCAAGTTCATCCGGTTCTCAATGGGTTATGCTCAAAAATGATGAGTGTATTTTACGAGCACAGAAACTATGAACAGTTTGTGGTAAGTTTTAAGATATTTTGAAGTGAAAAGGGTTGTCGTTTTTTCAGAGCTCTCTATTCGTTGCTGTAAATGGACATAAACCTCCTGTCAATGTGGAAACGGTAAATGCTCAATTCTCGATTCTCTACAAGCCAATCAAAGCAAACAATATTGATCCACCACCTGAAATATTTTCAATTTTCGTTCTGAAGGCGTTGACATGTCCGGCTCTTCTGCTTCACTTAAATCAACAAAATATTGAACAAATCAAAACAACACAATGTTTCGAAAAAACGCTCACCTGGCTGAGAACAAATCAGGAAGAAATCGAGAGTAAAATGGATGTGAGACTTCTAATCAACATGTTGGCCAACATAGTTCACTTTGCTTTTATTGATGAGCAGACCCTCCAAACAAAGGTTTACGAATGGACTTGGGCAGTCGGAACTATGCTATCGAGATGTACTGAACTCACAGTCAAACATGGAGATTCGAAAAGCAGCCTACAGTACTGGCATCCAGTATTTGGTCATTACCTTCTTCCAATCGACAAACGAACCGAGGGTGCTCTCAAAAACGTCCTTTATCAGCTCAAAATGCTCTGGAGCTCGCGAGTCGTCAAGTGTCTATTCCGGAAAATAATAGAGAACAAATCACTTTCACCATGCTCAACGCCTTCTGATAATCAGTCGGCCTCGAAAAATCAGAAAGATATCAGTGCCGCGTTTAGTAGTGAGTTGTTGTATAGTTTATTCGATTTCGTTCATTATATATTTCAGAACTTTGGAGAAAACTCGGTGGCACTATCGACTCGGTAACCTCATCGAAATCCGACAGTGAACCACCACCGAACCTTATTGCTATAGTGTGTCAAGTATACATGACTGCGTTGAGTACAATGGTCCATATGAAAGGAGAAATTGTATCCGGATTGTGTAGAGACGACCAGCTATTGAAACAGTTGTGGTCATATTTGAGAGAATGGGGTGAAAAGTATGGAAGTTCCAGTGGATATTTGTTCAGCTCCTCTAATGCTGAGCAATGGGGGCCCGTGGCAGCTTCTCTTCAATCTCTGAAAAGACCCAACTCCCCACATACCGCCACACTTCGTCTATTTGTGGATGCTGCATCTGCAATCGTTTCGTAAGTGTCCATTTTGGTTTCCCATTATTAGATGTTTTCAAATTCAGAATTCTTGACGAAGAGGAAATATTTGAAAAGGGAACTCCATTTTCTAATAAGGAGCTTGAATCAATTTGTAAATATGTGAATATATTTTGCTTCCGTGCCATCTGGAGTGGTGCTGTTGGTAAGTACACGAACACATCTGACTTATTTAAGAAGAAATATTTCAGACGAAGCAACTGTAAACAGTACTGGTCTCTTTCATAGTATGCATTCACTGCTCACAGTTCTCTATGAAAGAGATAGTCGAAGATCGTTCACCAATGATCCCAAGTTTTGGCTAATTTCGTATGTAGTGTGAAACAGTTTGAGCCTAAATATTAAACCTAGTTACAGAGAAGTGAAATCATCGTCGTTGACTATTGAATACGAAAAGAAATCTGGAAAAGGAGTGTTGATGATGCGAAAAATGGCACATTTAGTTCCAATCAAAGATCGAATGCTTCTATTCCGACGTCAAGTTCAAGATGATAAAAATCGAGTGGCAACAATACAAGGAGATTCGCAACCTCAAACATGGATTACTGTACAGAGAAATCGAATAATCGAAGACGGATTCCATCATTTATCGAAAGTATCGTTAAACCAGTTGAAATCCACGATCCGTGTCAAATTTGTCAACGAGCAAGGCCTGGATGAGGCTGGAATCGATCAAGACGGAGTGTTCAAGGAATTCCTCGAATTGACTCTCAAAAAAGTATTTGATCCACAGATGAATCTTTTTTCTACAACTTCCACGGGAGTTTTGTATCCGTCCCCCACTTCATCTCTCCATGATGATCATCTTGCTCTATTCACATTCGTTGGGAGAATGCTCGGAAAAGCAGTTTACGAAGGGATTGTCGTGGATGTGACACTGGCTCCAGTTCTTCTCGCAGCCGTTCTCGGAAATCATCGATTATGTGCATTTGATGAATTGAGTCAACTTGATCAGGAACTATATCGAAGCTTAACTTTTGTGAAAAGATATGAAGGAGACATGGCGGACCTTTCACTGACATTTTCGGTTGATGAGGATTTTATGGATAAAATCTCGACAGTTGACTTGGTCCTTAGCGGAAGAACAATTCCTGTTACGAATGAAAACAAGTTGGTTTATTAAAAGTTTTCTGAAACTCTAAACCCGATTTTTCAGAATTGATTACGTTCATCGAATGGCTCATCATCGTGTATTTCGTAGAACTCAGGAACAATGTAAAGCATTTGTTAGTGGGATGCAATCAATTCTTCAACCATCATGGCTTTCACTGTTTGCACCGAATGACTTACAATGCTTGATCAGTGGAGTCAACTCGTGAGTTTTTTTTCGTTGTTGAAAATAGTCTATCTAATTCTACAGAGACGTCGATCTATCAGATTTGAAACGCAATGTACAATATTTTGGCGGATTCCATGGAAACCATCGATTGATCAAGTGGCTCTGGGATATTCTTGAAAACAAATTCACTTCCGAAGAACGGAAACTATTTTTGAAATTTGTCACATCCTGCTCTCGTCCACCAGTTCTCGGTTTTTCGTACCTAGAACCACCGTTTTCAATCCGATGTGTTGAAGTCTCGGATGATCAGGATCAAGGTGATACACTTGGAAGCGTTGTTCGAGGCTTTCTGGCATTGAGAAAAGGAACCGCTGCTACTCGTCTACCCACTGCGTCTACTTGTTTCAATTTGCTGAAGTTACCCAACTATAATAAAAAATCGCTGTTACTCGAGAAGCTTCGATATGCAATTCATGCAGGAACAGGTTTCGAATTGTCCTAACTTTATGAAATGTTCAATAATTTGCTCTAAAGCATTTGTTTTTTTCTCCAAGATCTAACTTATTTTTGTTCTAGTCTGTGCACAACGTTTTCCCGTTCGAAATACGGGTAACATCTTACATTGTAATGTTGCGAATTTTCTCTTTGAAGTTTTACTTAATAAAATAAATGAGTTCACAAAATCAGATCTTGATGAACCATGCAGAACATATTTGAATGGGGAACGGGATTGTCAAAATGACAAAATCCAAATAAGTTTAATTGGGTAACAAAAAAAGTTGATGGTAGGTCAACAACTCGGCCTAGGCCTTAGTTGGGGCACCTTCTTGTTTCTGCTCTGTTGCCTCTCCTGCCTCTTTCTTTCCCTTGGTGTTACGGTTGCGACGGCGGCCTTTCTTCTCTCCGTCCGCTGGTGTGGCGTCACCATCTCCCTTCTCTTGTGGCTTCTCCCCATTTTCAGCGTCTGGCTGGAGCTTTCCACGAGCACGACGAACACGGCGCTTTCCGCGAACCTCTCCATCACCACTGAAAAGATAAGCTAGTAATTATACATAATCTGCAACCCTGACAAACCTCTCTTCCTGAGCAGCTGGCTTTTCCTTCTCGTCACCAGTGTTCTCTCGTGGCTTGCGTCCTCCAGCACGTCCTCCTCTGGCACCACCACGATGTCCCCAACGAGTGAGAAGGGATCGAGCGAATCTCGATCCACGGACGTTCTCGCCATCTGGTCCGGTTACGTTGGCGGCTTCAGGGCCCTTGCGTCCTTCGACGATGTCAAAGACGACTGGTTCGTCCTCCTCAAGAGTACGAAGATAGTACTTGATGGTGCTCGACTTGGAAATAGCGGTTTGATGAACAAAGAAGTCTTCGGTCTCATCGGCGGCCTTCTCGCGGGCAACGAATCCATAGCGTCCGCGGACAGAGAACCATTTGACGTATCCTTTGACGCCCTTCTCGAGAACTCTCTTGGTCTTCAGGTCCTCCTCGATTTGCTTCACCTGCTCCTCGTATGGTGGTCTTGGAACGTATCCCATGCGACCTCCGCGACCGCGTCCACGCCCGCGGAATCCGCGTCCACCACGACGAGCCGGCTTGTTGTCGTTCGCCTCGTTGGTTTTGTCGACAGCGAGGTTGTCCAATTTCTCGGTCACCTCGGCAACTTAAACGAAACTATTAATAAACCAAAGAGCAGACTATTTTCTCACCTTTGTCCTTCTTCTCCTCCATAACTTTTCCGTTTGCTTGTTCAGTCGACATGATGTTTCTTGGCGTTGGCCTTAGTGTTGATGTTGTCAAGGGGGTGAGGAAAATCCTCTGAGCCGATTGTACACAGCTACACTCTGCAAAGAATATCGATCAGTACACCAACGAGAATGTTGATTATGTAGCCACGAAACCACGACCTAACAAAATTATATACATGGGAATTGATAAAGAGAGAGGAACAACAGAGAGATCGATATTCACTGAAAAAAGATTGACATTTTGCGGACGTTAACTGACTGTTTTCACTATCCGATTACAAAGTGCACTTCTTCTGTGTTTTTAGTTGTAAACAACATGAAATAGAAGAGAAAGATAGGAAAGTTAGGAGCACCGATCGATACCGTATCCGTTTGGGACACTAGATCGAGTAAAACTTCCAAAACCAAGAAGTTTGAAAAGTCATCGAAAATATTCCTCACTCTAAAATCAGAATGGCAGTCTGCCAATGTTTAAAAGTGTTGCACATCATTGCGAAACAAAACTCAATTTTCAAATGATAATATAAAACTGATGTTATCGACAAAAAATGCTGCTTTTATCAGCAACCTCTCCATAAAAAAGAAGAAAATGTGTCATTTCACCGGAAAAGGAAGAAAATTAGGTCGAGAGAACATACATTGGCATAACCGATGACTAATGGGACAAAATATTTATTTGAAAATTGCGGCAGTGCTCGCAAAGTCGCGAGGGCGTGCGCGCTTTGCGAGAAAATGCAACCCTGGCACACTTTTCCCGGATTTATCGGATTTATCCGTTTAATGATTTTTACGGGTTAGCGGATGAAAATTGGCTTCACAAAATGAAAGAAATTGAGAACTACAATTTTTCAAAGCTGTATTCAAATATTTTGAAGAGAAAACTTTAAAATTATAAGCAAAAAACGGAATGAGCTCGGGAAATACTTCATCGTTTCGAGATATTTATAGCATAATACTGTATGTGCCTTTAAGACTATACTGTAGCTGATTATTTTCAGTAATTATTCGCGAAAATGGAGAGGTTCAAACAGCATGTTTCGGGGAGAATCAGCGAACTGGCAGAGCAGTTTTCGTCGAGTAACGATGTGAAAGTATGAGTCCTTGAAATATTACAAAAAAACATTACCAAGTTTCAGGTTATGCTAGAAACAATGAACGACAGAGTTCTGAGCCCTTACGACATTCCTTCTACGTCGGATGAGCCTCCTCCATTGGCAGTGTCCAGTCATACAGTCTCCCAGAACTCTACTCCTAAAAGAAATATAACATCGAAAGTATCAGAAGAAAATGAAATTATCGACTCCATAGACGCCTCTTATTTTATAGACAACGATGAATTCGATGCTATTGATTATGAGCTGAAGGTGAATCATTCATCAAAAACCCCATATATTCTCAATTAGTTTTATTATAGAAACTCTGCGACATCGATATGTGCTATGAAGATATTCAAAGAGAACGGTTTCGGTTGAAGTCTCAACATACTGTAGTTTCCAAAAAGATATCTACTCTAATTATGCAAAAGTCCTCCTCATACACAAATCAAGTCGGTGAAATGGAAAACATTCGAGAAAAGGTCAACGGCGTAGTAGATGAAATAATATCAATTCGAAAAGCGCTCGCGCTGGCTACTGATCAGACTCGCACCTGTCTGGGACTGATTGCAAACGAATACAAGAAGGCGTCGTTGCACAAATTGAAAACAACCTTAACTACGATAAAATCGTTTCACGAAGCTGAAACCCGCATTCGTGAAACGATACAGGAAGGAAACTTTCCACTGGCCATCCAAATGCTTATTGAAACTCAAATCCAAGCCACTGGTTACGGTCAATTCAATTGTGTGAAGTGAGAATCAATTTCTTTTCTTCACATCATGAATTATAACTTTTCCAGCGACATCTTATCGAAAATGATGGAATTGAGCACACTGCTAGAAACGGAGCTAGCTACACAATTATCCACGATTGCTGTGGTTTTCGATTCAGAGAAGTACCGATTCGTGTTCACTGCATATGAGATGCTTGAGAAGACGGATCATGTTGCTGAAAAACTGTTGAATGTGTTCACTGATGCAATCGAAACCACAACCACCGCGGTAGTTATGGACAAGATGAAGGAAGAAGATCGTAAAGATGATGCCACGTATACAAGTCTCTGTTTGAAGCTAGATGGAGAACAAGCTTCAACTACGTTCCGAGAAATGGGATTTGTGTTGTGTAGAAGTTTCCACTCATACCACAAAGTTCTGCAATACCACAACTCAGAATCTGCTTCTGATGCTTCTCAGAAAATATATAAGTCCCTCCTTGCGGCAAGAAGTGAAATTTTTCTCACTGCTACTAAGCGTTTACTGACTCTTGTCGAATCACGAGATTTCAGTACCATGAAATTCGATCACATACTGGATATTGTGAATTCCATCAATCGATTCAATAATCTTGGAAGAACTTATTTTGCCTGTGACCAACAGAAGTTAGCAGCATCGATCGAGAAGAGGATAGAAATATATTTCGATAGATATCATAATGAGAGAATGGAGGAGCTGTCAATGTTCATCGAAAACGAATCCTTCACACTTTGTCCAGTCCCGTTCCAATTCACAATCTTTGATCTACAGGATTTCGAATTTCTCAAGGAATCAAGACAAGAGTTTGACAATTTCAAAACCAAAGAAGAACTGAAAGGAGACAATGATAACATTGAGTTAATACCGAACGATTGGCAGAATCCGTTTTGCCAAGCTGCCATACGATCTCGTCTTCAGTCGTCGTACAGCCAGAAGTCGTCAGATGAAAGAAGCTGTTCAACATCTTCAGCTCCTGAGAACTTAAAATCACAGGAAAGCTTTTCTGATGATCCGCTAGATGAGCCTGTGAGTGGACCACTTCCAAATCTGTGCAATACAGCGCTGAACCTTTTGCGATTTTTCGGAAGATATCTTCGTATGACCGCACTTCTTCCCACACTTTGCTCCAAATCAGCTCCAGCCATAATCGATTTGTACGAATTTTTCTTTGCATCGGTAAGTGTACCATCTGGTTTAAATTTTTTTTTCTTTTTCAGATATGCTGCATTTTCGGTTCTGAAGGTGCTGAATGCGTTGGAAGAATCCAAAGACTAGTTACATGTCTGGATGGAATTTCGAAGAAATTCTCAAAAGACAAGGAAGGGAATTCTCCGTTCCGGAAAGTCTTTCAAAAAGATAATGATGACAAAATCTACCCATCTTTATCTCCAGCTGTACAAATCGCGTTTATTGATAATCTCTACGGAGCTTGTGAACGAATAATTGCTGTGAATTCAATGTAAGCTTATTGGTGTTTATTGATTTTAGCAACTTTTGAAAGGATTTCAGCGAGTTCGTGGCTCGTCAGTTAGATCTCATCCGACCGGTTATCGAATCCTTACTTCTTGAAGACGTCCGAGATTCCTTTTCAATATCGCTTGACATGTTTTATACTCAAGTTCTTCCGTGTCAAGCTGATGCCAAAACTCTGATCATCGATGCCTCAGCTTCCAGATGTCTCCGTTTAAGAAGCCTTGTAGAAAGCGTCTCATCTGTGAAATGGGACATTGGAGAATTGAAAAGTGACCATAATCCATATGTGGAACAATTGACACAAGACTATGAACTGTTTGCGATTCGATTAAGAACCATCAAAGAGAGTGGACCCGTCAATTTGTCGAGTTCAATGGAGAGATTTTTCTGGGACAGAACCATCTATTATTCGTTCAAGGCATTAGTTCAAGGCTACGGAGATGGTGGTAAATGCTCAACGGAAGGAAGGGCATTGATGCAATTAGATTTTCAGAATATATTATTGAAGGTGAGTTTTTTACAGAAATAATCATATAGCTATCTCCTCAATTTCAGCTAGAACCATTATGCGGTGTGAAGCCGGTTCCTCATGCGAGCTTTGTAGACGGTTATATCAAAGCCTACTATTTGCCAGAAAACGGCTTGGAGCAATGGATTAAAACGCATTCTGTAAGAGGAATCTCTATTTTATTTATATCAACAATTCATAAATTTTTTAGGAATATTCGTCGAAACAGTTATCCTCTTTGTTAGGAGCTGCCGCTCATGTCAGCAAAAAAGCGAGACTTCGGATATTAGACGCTCTGAAAGATTAACGTTCCTCTGTTGTATACTGTATGTGTTTATTTATTGCAATTTTAAATTATTATATTTGTATTTAAATACCATGTGGGAGATAGTTTTTAGTTCACTTGTGCTGTTTTCTCTCAATAAAAGATCTCGTTTCATAAGTCTTGCAAATCAATGACATCTCTTATTTTCACTGATTATCTTAAAAAAAAAAAAACTAACCTATAGTAAGATTTGAGAAAATATTACACTGTGATGGTACAGAAGAAGACGAAATTCTTATTCGTCGTCTGACGAATGTCTAAAAGTTCAATCTGACATTGGTGGTTTTGTAGTGATCAGTTTCTATATTTCTATTTGACCATTCCTGGTGAAAAACAGCGAAAAAATCTCGACGAAACTCGAAAACTAGATCGAAAACGATAGAAAACGGCGATAAAAATTCAGGAAAGCTCCTGGTTGTTTAAAGGGAGGCAACGTTACACCGGTCGAGGGTCTCGCAGCGCGCCCAAGAACTACCGTAACCCGTCGGTCGAGAGCACACCAACTGGGAAGAAAAGAAAAAGTGCACGCTCTCCCACAGAACAATTCCGAACTGCAAATTAATTTTTGATCTACAGAAAAAAGTTTGGCGCGATCACAATTGCAGGTCTAAAACCATAATTTCAGAATTTTTTATCTGATTTTGTGGAGATTCAAGATGATTCAAATGATTCTTAAAAAATTAATTAGTGGTTATAGATTCATGTATGGTCGTTTTCCGGAAGAAAAAATGTCAAAAATGGTCATTTTGAAAGTTTTTTACAGAAAAAATCTATCTCCTCTTTCAGTTGTTGACATTTCTAGGAGTTCTATAGCTCAAAAAACCG